AAAAAAATCAAACAAATAACTTTTAACTTACTTTTCAAAATTTAATCAATCCAAAAAAAAAAAAAAACTACTTGTCAAAATAAGCCAATGTTAATTAATAGTGGCCCTGTTTGCTAAGTTATTTTTTTAGCTAAAATAATTAATGAAGATAAAATAAGTTAAAATAATCAATAAAATAAAATATCACATTTAATCTATAATTATTTTATTTTTTCTCTTACAACCATCAAATTAATTATCTTTCCAAACACAATTATTTTAGTCTAATCAACTAAAATAGGTAATTCCCAAACAAGGACAGTGTATATATTACACTTACAACCGGACTAAAAAATATATATTTTAACAAGAGATAGTTTTAAGAGAGGATATTTTGTCCAACATCTTTCTCTAACTTTTAGTAATGGGAGAGATCTAAAAAAAAATTTAAAAAAAATAAATAATTAATTAAAGCCTAAGATCCCACACCCACATAAGCAAATTCAACTAAGGGTAGGTGCTTTTCCCAAGACCCCTTAAAATCTATATATATATATATATATATGTTTTTCAAAATTTGATCGAGCACAGTTCATCGCCAGAAATGAATTATCCACATCCGAGTTTTGAGCTCCAATCAATGTTCATTCCTCTCTGCTCGATCTATCAATGTCATTAACTGCCTCCACTATAAGTCGAGAATTTCTAACTCAATCAACTTCTTCATTACACATGGAGATACATATATATGTATAATTTATAATGTATATATATTTGTGTTTGTTCAAAAAATATAACTCTTCTGACTTTTTGTTTTTTATTTTTTTATTTTTATGAATGCAACATTCCTCATTACATCACTATGGATGGTCAATACATATCAAACAGTTTGGATTGCAACACGGTGATCTTTAAAGAGTGATCGTTAATGTTGTTTGATGATGATGAAAACACCAATATATATACATGCTTGTTTGTATGTATTATGCAGAAATGTACTTGTTTGTAGTTCAATTTTCTCTTATTTGAAACACAGAGAAAATTGTGAGCAAACTAAAAAAAATTTGTCAAAACACAGAGAAATTTGTCAGCCAACTTAAGAAATTTCAATTCAAAAAAATTTCAAAATACAGAGAAAATCAGTGAAATTGAGTAAACCAGAGAAATTTCAAAACACAGAGAAATTTGTCTGAAATTTCTATATGTTTTGAAATTTCTCTAAATTGAAATTTTTCTAGAAAAATGTTGAGGGATCCCAACCACTATGAAAATATTACATGTCATTTATCTTATAAAATCTTAATATCAGAGACCTTTAAAAAAAAAATATCCCTCTTAAGAGAACCTATTTATTTAATTGAAACATGTAAAGGTACAATTAAGAAATAAAATTTTCAAGGGTATACTATATTACGAATATACAAATAAAACATTTATAAATAATAATAATAAAATAAAAAATAAAAAACCTAGCTTTGAAATCAACTATTTAACTTTAGAGAGTGAAATTTTCTTCAAAAATCAGCATTACATTATATAATAATAGAAAATCATGTCAATTATTTTAATATATATATATATATATATATTAATTTGAAACAAAAACAAAGTCATATAACTATTTTACAATTATTGAATAATATAATAAAAATCTTTCATGATAGAGATTATGTAGAGATACTATATATAATAAGATCTTGTCTTGAGAGAGTCACATATTGTGCATTTGTTGTGCATTTATCGCTTGCCTAAGTTTAAAAAAGTAACTAATGAAGCTAATATGGACCCATTGTAATTATAATTGTGATTGTGTTATACAAGATAGAATTTGAAATGTGATGAAAAAAAATGATAATTATAATATCATTGTAATTTTCCTTCATAACCTACGATAATTACTATCACGACCCGCTCTTCGTACCCAAGGGTTAAGTATCATGATAACCAATAACTAAGGTTACCTTCAGTCAATTCTTAAACAAATAAATAAACGCGAGCGGAAGTAATATTTAAATGAGGGTACCAAAATAATTATCGGAACTTCTATTTTTATTACAAAATGTATTGACCAAAAAGGCCGATATTTACATATAAAAAATATCATAAAAGTATTGTATGTGTTTATTTCGTAACCCCGCATCTAAGACTTTTCAACAGCTATTTCTGAATTGCATTATTTTCTGAAAATTGGTAAACAACTATAAGCGCATAGCAGAATAAGAAATATTATACCAAAAGTATAAGGGACAAGAAATAACCATGGATATTTAGTTAGGCCAAAACATTTACATAACTCAGTTTGGTAAATAAATCATGGGTAAACAATTCATTTAAGTGACAGAAACTGAAATACAAAAATTATGTAAATAAATAGTTATAACCACGGTACAAAACAGAACAGAACAAAACGGAGGTCATAGAAATGACAATCAGAATAGAGGTACGGACTCAAGAGGTGGCTCGTACGGACTATAGAGGTGGCTTCCATAATAGTGTAGCACTTATCTCAGCACAGAACAGAGGTCAATGGATCCATGACAAACAAAAGACCACAAAGTGGTCAAACAGAGGTCAATAGTTATTTAAGTCCCCCAAAGCGTGGGACTCCCGTGGTGATACTTACAAAACATAATTGTATATAAGGTCATAATCAAATATTCTTAAAATATAAAATAAACATATCCATGGATTTCTTTTTAACAAATAGAATTCAAAAAATAATTCACGTAATTGAAATAATAATATAATTTATAATAATTTATAAAACATAACTTATATAAAATAAATATGATAAGTCAAAACATACGTAAAATACATTATAGTGACTCAAGTCACCTTAATTTTATACCTTACTCTCTTTTTTTCCTACCAACAACTCTTTCGATTTTCATTATTTTTTTTTCCTTTCCTTCCTTTCTTTCCCTCTTCTTTCTCTTTCTCTCTTTTCTTTCTTTCTTTCTTTCTTTCTTTCCTTTCTTTCTTCTTTTCCTTCTCTTCCTTCACAGGTGAAACGCCTCCTAGGGAGGAGAGCGCCTACGTGGCCCGTATCTTCCCCCACAGATTGATAATAAATTTCACGACAATACTACGTAACTCAAATTTTGTAGCTCAAAAGTGACTCAAATGGCCAAAACGACGTCATTTTGAGTACAGAACAACATAAAAATGGCCAAAACGACGTCGTTTTGGCCATTTGAGCCACTTTTGATTAAATAATATTAGTATAAATTCTATAAAATAATTAAAAATTTAGATTGTTACAATTACTCAATGTAAAGAAACCAATGGGATTAAAAATAAAAAATAAAATAAAAAGTCATGCTAAACAATAAGATGCACAAAATGTCAAAATATTTATAATTTTAATACACTTTTCATATATTTCAGAACACTCACACACTTTAATACCCTTTTTACATACTTTTCAATAGTAACAACAATCCTTAGTGCTATCTTAGCATTTTTTTCAAAAAAGAAAGTGATAAATTACATTGACCTCTCTAAAAATTTTGAGAAAATATAATAAATTTCACAAATTTAACATTATTATATTGGATTCAGTTAAAGTTTTAATTCACATTACACAACTCTCTTTCAATTTGAAAATCATTAGTCATATAGATGAAAATAGGATATTGTCAACTATTTTGTACTTAAATATACATTTTCTATTGTTTATCATCATAGTTCACACTATTTGCATTAATTATAATGGAAAATGTCTCGTAACTCAAATTTTGTGGCTCAAAAGTGGCTCAAATGGCCAAAACGACATCGTTTTGACCATTTTTATGTTGTTCTGTACTCAAAACGACGTCGTTTTGGCCATTTGAGCCACTTTTGAGCCACAAAATTTGAGCTACGTAGCATTGTCGAATTATAATTCATTTAACTTTACTGAAAGTGAGATTTGTATAATTATATCAAAACTATAAGTTCTATTGTATTTTTTTTTTCAAAATCTCAAGAGAAATTAGCATAACTTACTCAAAAGAAAATCGTTTGAAAATATGGAAATATCTTGAAAGTTAACAAATTAATTTATTTTTGCATTAGTTTTTTGTTAATTTATTTTTTATCAATAAACTGGATTTCTTAGTCAACTCTCAAACCATGTTTGTTATTCCTTTTAAATGATGGGATTCGACTAACAATAATGCAAGTCTTAACTAAATTTTATTTTGTTGCGACAAAAGGCATGGGACTTAGTAATCTCCTGAGATTATTAATCCCTCCAAAAGGTGATATAAGCAATCTCATGGGGGATGACACATCACTCAATTCTATTATATTTACATCCTCATCTAATATAATTTATGAACAAGCATCGGTAGCATCATCACTTAATCTTTTTGTGTTTATAATCTGATTCAAAAAAAATTATACTCTTAGAAAACATGTAAGTGTCTCATATTGAATTTGATTGGTTAAAACAGTAAGATTTATCACTTTTATGTTACTTTATAAAAGATGAAAAAAGTTTTAAGAGTATTAATCTAATTATGTGACAGTGGGCCCCTATCATGAATGATTTGATATATGTGTCTTTTTTTTTTTTTGGCTCCATGTAACAGTATTATAACTATTGTTAGAGCTTTAAATTTAGAGTTATGAATCATTACTCTATAAAAGATAGAAAAATGCTTTGGAGCTCTAATTCTTTAGCTCTAATGAGTTGACAGTGGGTTGGTCCCACCCACTATGATGTAATGTTTTGGCCCTGGTTTGTTTTTTTTTTTTCTTTTTCTCCTTACTAAGTCATTAATATTCCATTAAAATATTAAAATTAGTGTTCTGAATTATTACTGTAAAAGATAACAAGACAATGTCTTGACATAAATGATCTGAAATAATACTCTTTAACCACCAAATAATGTTTTTTCACCTAAAATAATCGGACAAACAAATATGAGGTAATCCAAGTTAATATTAAGCAGATGGGGATTTTTCATAATATAAATGGTGTGGCATGTGTGTGGTGTGATTAATGGGGCGGTGCTAAACCTCAAACGCCACGTTTAAGACAGAATCCGATGCTCACCCACACAACCCACCACCGTCTTGCCGCCGTGAAGTTCCTCCCTCCTATCCTCTCTTATAAAACCCACACCCGAACCCAGTGGCTGTCAACATCAATGATTTTGCCTTGATATCTAATCAAATCTTACTACACTCCAAGAATCCCCCCAACACAAACCTTGTTTGTTTGTTTGTTTTTCTCACTACTCTCTCTCTCTCTCTCTCTCTCCAACACATTCCTTACTTTACTCTTTTTCATTTTCATCCAAACACACCCTTCTAGTCTCTCTCTCTCTCTCTCTCTCTCTCTCTCTCTCTCTCTCAATAGCTTATTAGCTGCTACAATTCGTTCCAGAAACTAAAGAAAAAGAGTCAGACAAATGAGTCGTTTATGGACTTTGATCACCTATGTTCACTCCCTTGCTGGGTGATTCAACTTTTTCCCCACCTTATACATTCTCTCCCTCTCTCGTTTAATTTGTATATGTGTCATTTTTAGTCATTCAAGATGTTTATTTAAAAACAAAAAACATACTAAGAATACAAAAATTAATCACAATTCGGACACAATTTTCTCACATAAATGTGAAAGAATCGTGTTCATTTTTATATTTGATTTCTGTGTTTATAGTATTTGTGATTTTCTTGGCGTAACTTATATTTTTTGTCTAATTCAATGCAGGCCGGTTATGATGCTACTGTACCCATTGTAAGTGACCTATTCTTTAATGTCGTGTTTCGATTTTAAATTTACAAGAAATTTGAAATTTTGTTTTCATTTTGAAATAAAGTCAATTTTTCATGTTCTAGTAATAACTAATCTTGTGGGTTGGGTTGGATTGAATAACAGGTATGCATCGGTGATTGCAATAGAGAGCCCATCAAAGGTGGATGCTGAACAATGGCTTGCTTATTGGATCCTCTATTCATTCCTCACCCTCATGGAGATGCTTCTCCATCCCATCTTACAATGGTACCAACTATATAGAGTATAAACCAACCAATCAATAAAAATAAAAATAATAATAAATAGTCATCAAAATTTATTCTCATAAGGAAAATGATTAACAAATAAAACTCTAGTTAAACTCTAGTATGGGGTTTACTATATATAGGAAGATTAGTATAATAATGTCAAAAGTATACGACATTTTCCTCAAACTTCAACAAAAGTAAATATAATTTGCCATAAAAAATTTATTCTTAAAACTGATGCAAAATGATGTGATAGTAGTATTTTTAAAATTTTGAACCATAATTGTATGAATTGTTTGTACAGTGTTTACCCTTTTGATAATCATTTTTCAATACATACATACATTGCTTGTTCATTTTCAAGAAAATGAAAATTATTTAAACATGGTGACTACTATAATTCAGTTTTTTTTTTTAATTTTAGGATACCAATATGGTACGATGTAAAACTAGCATTTGTGGGGTGGCTGGTTTTGCCTCAGTTCAAAGGAGCAACTTTCATATATGAGAGGTTTGTGAGAGACAATATCAAGAGATATTCCAATGCCAATGCCAATGCCAATGCCAATGTCAATGTCAAAGCCAAGAAGAACAAGGCAGTGCACTTCATTACCTCTAAAAAAGTGAGTTAATTATATTAAATTAAATTAAATTCATCTCTTTTAATTTTCTTAAAAATTACCAGTTCTTGTTAGACTCTTTAATTACTTCATGTGTTTACTAATATATGTCTAATGGGCAGGGAGAGCACGAGGATTCTTGAAGGAGAAGAACCCATGTTTACAATGGTTGTACTCATTATCTTTTTGCATTCTGTACAAGTTTGCAAAACTAATAGTAAATTATAATTTGCAAAATTTCATCAAATTTACGAATGCAACCAGTGAATGGCTACTCCGATGTCTCATTAGCCTAAAATTATCACATGAATGTAAAATATTACATCTATTCGTGTCAATCCAATGGTGTTTTGTGATTTATCCACCATATTCAGTATTTCGTAAATTATGTTTGTATTAAGGTCATGTTTCTTTGGATAAACACAGTCTTGGAATTAGACTAATAATCTAACAAAAAGTATAATTCGATGCCTGACTAAATAAATTGGGATCCAAACATTATGGGAAACTATAAAATCCCAAGAGAGGAATGGGATATAAAATGAGAGACTAAGGAAAAGTTTGAGCTAATTAATTAGATCATAAAATTGGTACGATTTTGTCAATCCCTCTTCTTAATCTCAAGCCATCCAAACATGCCTAACCGCTTTAGGCATACTAATTCCATCTAATCACTACAACATATAAGAGTTTTAGAAATCAAATATTTTAGTCTCCAAAAGGAAAAATTTTGTTGCAAAAGACATTTAGGGACTAATTTCTATCATCGTGAGGATAGTCACTAAAAGATCGTCCCGAAAAGTCAAAAACAAGGCTTTTAGTGACAATTTTGAAAATGTCACTAATAAATAGACTTTTAGAGACAAAATAATTTGATCTCAAAAGGATAATAATTCATCACTAATACTCAATTTTTGTTGCTAAAAGTATAATAAAACTTTTCCTCACAAAAATATTTAGCCCCTAAAAATTAATTGTCCCTAAATATTTGTCTCTAAAACTTTAATTTTTTATAGTAAATCCAGTCCGATTAAACCAACATGGCTATTTGGTGGACACACAATCAACCTCATGTTCTTAAAAGACATGATAATACGCATTAGGAGTAATTTTTTTAACACAAATATACGAACAAACATAATTTTCTTTACATTTTCAAATAATCTCACTATACTACTAATCTCTTCACTCAATTCTACTATACTAATTTAATCTGACAAACAAATGAACCCTTACTTTTCACTGCCAACAACAATTTTTAGCCGAGCTATGATAGAGACCCCCTCCAATCACCACCCCCACAGACACGTGGCGGGTGGTGATTGGAGGAGCAGGAAAAAAAGAAAAAAAAAATGTAACCAATGAGAGAGAGAGAGAGGGTCAAAGGGGGTAGAGGGAAAAGGGGACATGAAACATTTTTGTTTTTAGCCAATAGTCAAATTCCTTTCCTTCTTAATTTTTTTTTTCTCTTTATTGCTAAGTTAATATACATACTTATGTTAGGTGGAGAGTGGCATATATGCATATATGTATACCTCGTACGGAGACTTCCCCTCATACCTTACTCTTTATTCCAAATGCTATCTCCTGAAGGCGGGGTTAGCAGCAGGCTGGTTTGTAGTCCCTCGCCCCGTTCCATATTATGTTAGGAACGGGACAAATCATGTTAGTGTTGGGGTCGGAGTGAGAGTAGGGATGGCAATTTGAAACCGGCCCGACGGGGACCCGACCCCCCGACCCCGAGTGGGACGGTTTTTCCCCGAAAAAAACTCCCCACGAGCCGGTGATGGTATTGAAAATTGAATCCCCGATCATTTTCGGGCCGAGGACGGGGCATTAATGATGTGATGTTTTGGTCTTGGAGTTGTGTTTTTTTTTTTTTTTTACTTTTTTAATGCATTAGTGCTATTAGTGGTGATACTTTTAGTGGGATGAATCATTATTGTTCCAAATGCTATCTCCTGAAGGCAGGGTTAGCAGGCTGGTTTGAATCATTATTGTTTCAAACGAGAAATAAATTAGTGAGAATGAATATCTAATAAGCATAGATACAGATACGTGACACGATACGGACATGTCGACACTTTTATTTTCAAAAAATATAAGACACGACACGTAAAAAACACGCATAAAATATATGATTTTATATATTTATTATATATTATATATATAAATATATCATTCAAAAATAATTAAAAAATGTAATATAACACTAGTTGTTATAAATTTATTTGGTTTTTATTTTATTATTATATCCTAAATTGTTTTATTCAAACTTATAATTAGTTTCACATGTCTAATCGATAAACATGTGCACTTAAACGATTGACACGTGTGTCCTTCAGATGTTTAGAGAGTGTTTGAGTCTTTAAAAAAAAATTAAAAAATAGGACACGTTTTGAAGAACGTTGAACACGTGTTCTAAGAGTATCTAAAGAGTGTCGGTATCCAACACAGACACGACACGAATATGTCACTTTCTTAAAAGTATCTGTACTTCCTAAAAAAATATTATATAAATTAATCTTATTATATTAAAAAAATTCATACTCACCTCACTTCTTCATTGAGGAAAGGTTTCGCATGTCTAATCGATAAACATGTGTACTTAAACGATTGACACGTGTGTCCTCCAGATGTTCAAAAAGTGTTCGAGTCTTTAAAAAAAATTAAAAAATAGAACAAGTTTTGAAGAATGTCGAACACGTGCTCTAAGAGTATCTAAAGAGTGTCGGTATCCAACACAAACACGACACGAATATGTCACTTTCTTAAAAGTATCTGTACTTCCTAAAAAAATATTATATAAATTAATCTTATTATATTAAAAAAATTCATACTCACCTCACTTCTTCATTGAGGAAAGTAAAATACAAACGAGACGAGGTGAGGACAGAATGAGACTGAAGAAAATTGCCATCCTCATTTAAAAGTGATAAATGAAAGCATCATTTTTCGAGAACATGCGTTTAAAGCTAACACGAGATCTAAATAAATAAAAAGATACGAATAAATTTGGGGCCATTAACTAGGCTAATAAGCAAGATATCACTTTCAGCTTTATGCTTTTCATTTGTATACACTTGAATGCAGTTTCATGCAAGTCCCACAAAGAAGCTGCTAGTTTTCTTGTACCTTTTGGAGGTCAACCAACATTGATTAAAATTTAATGTTAAAAAAATTATTTTAATATATATTCTCAGGCATAATATCATATTTTTTTTTATATATATTTCGATATACTTTTCACTTTTATACAACATTAACTAACTCAAATAATAGTTATGCTTATATATATATATATAGATCGGCAAATGTTAGTTGATAGTTGTTAGATTAGTACCTATAGGAGAAAATCTCTCCCACCCATGACAAAGCACCTAAATGCTTACGCTCCTTTCATTCAACCCCCCTAAAAGGAATTAAACCCATGACTTCCTTGAAACTAAGCCCTAAAAAAGACATGGTGACCAACTAGGCTGGGCCTAATTGGTTAGTTATGCTTATATTTTGTCTATATTATGCTAAAATTGCAATAAAACAGTTCCAAAAATGTATAAAGTATTATTTGTGTATATATATAAAGTTATTATAACGTTATTATAATAAACACATAAAATAAATTATTGGGATAAAATGGAGTGGGAACAGTCTAATCTAATGATATTGTTCTTGGTTTTTATTTCCTTTATTAAAACAAAAAAAAAAAAAAGACCCCACTAATTTAACCTAACGTTAGCATTTATGTGTCCACTTTGATTGTAAAGGGAAATGGGTCACTATGCTAAAAGTGTAGCAGTGGCTGTGGTGCCTCTATTTAAGTTATATTATGACTTTATTTTTATGATCCAAACTGTTGATTTTGTAAAGTTAGTTGAGTACTCCATGCCTACAAAAAATCATATTAATCAGATATCAACAACTATATGATAAATAACTAAAAAAAGAAATAATAAGTTTTTCTTTTAAGAAATAACATAAACAATATACAATTCGATCATGTAGTTATTGATATCCGATTAATATAATTTTTCGTAGGCATGAAATACTCAATAAATCCTACAAAATAAACGGTTTGAATTATAAAAATAATGTCATAATATACCTCAAATGAAGGCACCATTTTAGCACAACAGTAACCCATATCCGATTATAAACAAATATTGATTGAATAGAGGCATATATCACTTTCTCACACACCATTATTGTGATTGTTGTTATTATTTTCTTCTTTTTACCCCTAATGGGGGTTACAATGCCATAATGTGTCTTTGGCTCCCACAAGGAATCGGGAAATCTTACCCATGGCAAAACTTTGGCCGTGTTTGGGAAGTGAGGTATGACGCTATTTTAGGGTCCGTTTGGGAAGGATTTTTCAGGATTTTTTTGACTATTTTAACTACAAAAGACAAAATAAGCTATTTTAGTCACACAAAACAAAACATCACATTCAACCCATAATCATTACGCTCTTCTCTAACAAAAAAAGTCAAAAAAGTCAAAAAAACCAAAAAGCCAAAAAACTTTTCTCAAACCAAACTTTTTAACTCAGGCTAAAATAGTCAAAAAAGCTAAAAAGTCAAAAAGCCAACCCACTTCCCAAACGGAGGGTTAGTCTCATTCAAAAAAAACAAAAAAAAAAAAAAAGTGAAAAGCTTTATTGTAGCTGAGGCTTGGCACATGGTTCATAGTTGTGCAAGACAGAAGGTAAAATAACGATTTTGTCCTTTCAATTTTGACTAACACACCAACTCAGCATTTCAATACACGGGGTAATTTGATCATTTACTATCCCAACACAATATATCAGCACGTCAACAACTTTTTAAGAGTAATTTGGTTTTGTCTTATTCCAATATCATTTCAAACACATTTTTAATACAATAATCAAACAAAAAAATCTAACCCATCTTCCCTAGTACAAAAACATAAATAACTTATTAAAATAATTAAATACATAAAAAAACTTCAAAAATAATCACTTCTCAAACAAGACCTTTACATCATTTCTAGTTTTGCACCCAACAGGTTCTCAACTATCTTAAGAAACCTTTTTAGTTTTGAAATTATAAGGTAGCTATAGGGTTTAGTGGCTAGACATGCTCACATATTCACTAAAGTAAATATTATTTATTTCACCAAAATCAATTACACTGACAGCTTATCAAAATGTTTATATTTTTTATTAAAAAAAAAATTAGATGGTTGAAATGTTTGATGCACATTTTATTTATAAC